TGTAGGGAATATTCAAACAAACAAGCAAGCAAGCAAGTAAGCAATAATCAAACAATCAAACAAACAAATAAACAAACAAATAAATACATAAATAATACTATAATTGATACAAACAATGTGGACAGAACTGAAGACTTCCATAGTTTTTACTCTTTGGGGACTTATCTCCACCTGACTCCAAAGCCTGGGAGAAGAACTAAGTCTTAACTGCTTCTTAAAGGCATTTAGGATTATGGGCAGAGGTGATGTGCTGACCTAGGCTTCCCCAAAAAGCACAAAGCAGAATCCTGGTCCCAACAAAACCCCTTTTATTAAACAAACAGTGAATTCCTCTCATTCATTCACCTTCAGCAAAGTCTTTCAAGGGAGAATTTACAGTCACAGACCTTAGAGAGCTGCCAGACAGATATCTTCAAAACTTGGCAAAGAGTCTCAGAGAGTCACAAACCAACCAGGCGAACTAATTGCCTCCTGCAAACTCCATTCCCCTTTTGCTCCTCTTTTATTCCCTCTGGGAGGGGCCATTCTTCATCCATCTGTGGCCTTACTCCTGTGACTTGTTCAACCCTTGTTCTTTAGCTGTTCCCTTCATCTGGCAACTCTGTGCATGTGCACACCGGGAACAGGCTCCAGCTGTTTGTCTGCCTCACTGATGTCTGATTCTGGCAGTTGATAACTGGCATCTGGCCCTGGCCCCCTCTCTGCCTCCAACGCAGAGCCCTCATCAGAGCCTTCCCCAGACTCCAGGACTGGCCCATGTTCCTCCCCAACCTCCTCACCATCCAAATCTGCTGCCAGCTCTGCTGGCGGGCCACAACAGATGGGCTGCTGCCGGTTTGGACCAGTTCAAGCAAACCAGTTGTTACATCATGTGACGCACACCTCTGGTTATGGGCTAATCACAAGCCGGGGAAAAGATAGTTCCAAAGAGCAGGAGCTGCAATAGAATAGAATAGAATAGAATAGAATAGAATAGAATAGAATAGAATTCTTTATTGGCCAAGTGTGATTGGACATACAAGGAATTTGTCTTGGTGCATAGGCTCTCGGTGTACATAAAAGAAAAGATACGTTCATCAAGAATCATAAGGTACAAGACTTAATGATAGTCATAGGGTAAAAATAAGCAATCAGGAAACAATATCAATATAAATTGTAAGGATACAAGCAACAAAGTTAGTCATACAGTCATAAGTGGAAGGAGATGGGTGGTGAGAACGATGAGAAGATTAATAGTAGTGCAGACTTAATAGTTTAACAGTGTTGAGGGAATTATTTGTTTAGCAGAGTGATGACATTTGGGAAAAAAACTGTTCTTGTGTCTAGTTGTTCTGGTGTGCAGTGGTCTATAGCACCGTTTTGAGGGTAGGAGTTGAAACAGTTTATGTCCAGGATGTGAAGGGTCTGTAGATTTTTTTTTGTCTTTTTTTTTTTTTTGTCTCCAGGATCTCATAAGATGACATACTTAGTGAGTTGTGCCCTCTTGCCAGAACATGTGGAACAAACAGATATCTTGGGATCAGGGACTCCTGCAGACAAAAGCTGCCAGGTAGAACTTTATGGATAATAACCAGCATTTTGAATTGTACCCAAAAACCTAGTGAGAGCTAATGTAGCTTGTGGAGTTAGAGGTGTTATGTGCACATACCATAACTGCTTGCAACACATTCTGGAACAATTGAAGCTTCTGAATGATCTTCAAGGCAGGCCAATGAAGGCTGCAATAGTCCAATTAGGAGGTGACTAAGGCATGAATAGGGACATGGTGGCTCAGTGGCTAAGACACTGAGCTTGTCGATCAGAAGGTCAGCAGTTCAATGGTTCGAATCCCTAGCGCCTCGTAACATAATGAGATCCCATTACTTGTCCCAGCTTCTGCCAACCTAGCAGTTCAAAAGCACGTAAAAAATGCAAGTAGAAAAATAGGGACCACTTTGGTGGGAAGATAACAGCGCTCCATGTGCCTTTGGCATTTAGTCATGCCAGCCACATAACCACAGAGATGTCTTCGGACCGTACTAGTTCTTTGGTTTAGAAACGGAGATGAGCACTGCCCCCTAGAGCCGGAAACGACTAGCACACATGTGCGGGGGAAACTTTACCTTTACCTTAAGGCATGAATGACCACAAGGAGAGTCCCCAATTCAGGAATGACATACAAGATGTGAAGATCTCCCTAACCACAGCTGCCACCTACTGCTCAAGCAGGAGCTATGAGTCTAGGTCTAGGTGCCCATAGATTGCCACCACTGGTCTAGGAGGACTCAGACTGTGCACAGAATCTGAGTGTAAACTGTGCAATCCCACCCAGACCCAAGAATGAAGCTCTCCAGTTCTAAGATCCATGAGGCTCAAACTCACAGCCACTTAAATCTTAGAAATGATGTGGCGTCGTGGCTGCACCGGAGTACTTCGAGTCTCAGGTTTGCAGGGAAATACAATTTGGATCCCTTCCATGCTAGTCCCTCCCTCATGGTCAAGACATCTTTATTGTCTATGAGCCAGAGGTCAGCTGGTAGCGCCACATTTAATTTCACTGTCACCTTATCCCAGTTTGGGTTGGGTGGTCACCTGGCTTGGCTTCTGGTGGTGACTTGTGCCGCTGATTGTGTGGGGGCAGTTTTTCCCCATCTACTGTCCTTACTAACACCTCCAGACAATGTAGTATAATCCTGACAGCTTCACTTCGATGGCTGGGGACAGAGACGTACAACTAGCATCAGAGTACTGATGATACCATACTCCATGCTGATGGATGACTTTCCCCAATGGCTTTAGGTAGATGCTAAAAAGAATTTGTGTTCCTGATCCTGCATGTCTTTGCCTTCCTCTCTGTCCATCTAATTTGGGTCGGAGTAGCTTTGGAGTTGACTATTGCCAGATCTCCACTGTTTGGTTCATGCCAGATGAATGTTCATAGCCTAACCCTGCAAAGAAAGGCATTCCAGGGGGAAAAGAAGGGAGAAGGGATGAGGAGGAGGTGGTGGTACTTCAGAATTAACATGATTATTTGGTCACTCATGAAATTGTACCAATGGGAGGAGAATTATGGTAAAGACAATAGAAACACTCCAATGTATGTTCGGGGTGTTGAACCTTTTCTCTCTTCCATAATAGGAAGCCTGAAATACAAACATTCTTGGGACATTTTAGCTGTGCAAAACAATTACTTTTCAATTAAAAAAAAATACTGAAGAAAACCGATATTAAAATGCAATGGACTTTTTTAAGGACAGAATCCAATTTCACAAATATTTCCTAATGACCCAGAAAAACTCAGAAGTTGGTTTACCCTGTTTCCAGCATGCTTTTTACAGAGACGAGGAAGGGAACAACAGTTCAGAGTTATCAGAATCAAACAAGTGTTGAGCAGAACTGCAAGAAATCTGCAGCCCGGTTTCTGACAGCTTTAGGGTGAATTTAGTATTAAACTTAGTATTAGTTGTCTGTGTCGCTCTGCTGCTCTCTAGCGATCGGCCGGATTTTTGTAGCCAAGATTCGTTTAACCCTAAGAAATAAGAAACGGGAACTAATTGTGTGGGACCCAAACAATTATTGAGTCTGCTGTCGTGGGAATCCTTTCTTATTCGCTTCGTGGGATTAATTCTACCCCCCACCCCCCCCAGTCCCCTGTCCATAGCAAAACATCCAGACACAACCCGCGCGTTATATATTCGTTTTTCTCCGATTGGAAATTTCTGGCTCCTAAATTAAATTTCCATTTAAAATGCCAATAATCCAATCGGGAGCTCGAAGGACTTTCTATGGCTCAGGCTTCCTTATGACTCAAAGGCCGGGATCTCAAGTGACCGAGTCAAGCTGGTGAGTAAGGAAGATGCGTTTGGATTTCACCGCGGATACGCGCTTCCCCTTTAAGACGCTCGGATCGAACCGGGAGTCTCCCCGCTTTCACACCTTGGGTGGGAAAGGGAGGCGGGACCTCTCGCCTCTGATTGACGGCCTGCCAACCTCAATGGAACGTTGTCTATCCGAACGGGGGAAAGGGCCTGCCGTCCAATCGGGAAGCGCGCGGGCACGCCGCGGAATGCCCAGGAGCCAATAAGAGAGCGGGAAGAGGACGGAACATGTTGCAATGTGTCCAACGTGGGTTTGAGTTGGGCAACCGACGCTCGGGGGGACTGAAAAGTGACTTTGCGGACGGGGAAGGTGGGAGGTGGGGAGGCGAAGGTGACCGGACTGGCCGCTTGCACCGGCGCCCCGAGAGGATCGCTCGCTCGCTCGGCTCGGCTTGGCTGCTCCCGAGCGGGGCGCGTATCAGTCCCGAGGAGGCGGGAGGAGGAGGAGAGCCAAGCAAGGAAAGCCAAGAGGGGAAAGTTGCGGAGGCGGAGATAGAGAGAGCACCGCTTCGCCCGTGCTTGGGAAAAAGGTGTCGGAGCCTCGGAGGAGAAAAAGGTTCCAGGCATCGGCGTTGCTGTCCCCCTCTGCAAAGTCTTCGGGCTCGGGTCTCATCTTGCAGCGGAGGAGGCGAGAGAAGCAGCGGGGAAGAAAGAGGAGGAACTTTTTGGGTGCGTGGAGCTTTTCCCGGGCTCGGCCCAGGCGCGGCAGCCTGCAAGCCGAAAAGATGCGGGCTCTCTTTTTGCCAGCACAGGATCCAGTCCCTCGCTTAGCCCGCGAGTAGTGATCCCGGAGGGGATCTTTAGAGCTTCGTGCCCGGGGCCAAGAGCTTGCTTCTTCTTCCTCCTCCTCCCCTCTCGGCGTTGGGAGACTCTTAAAATCCTGCTGCGTGGAAGAGCCGGCGCTGCGCCCTTTTTGCGGACCCCGAGAAAACGGAAAGAAGTTTGCCCGGTGCTTGGACTGAAGTGCCATGGTTTAACCAAGTGCTTCTTCTTTGGAGGCCTGCTGTGACCTCGGAGCAAATAAGCTCAGGTCTAGGGAGAAAGAAAGGGGAGAAAAACAACAACACGAGTGGGACTTTTCTTTCGTTCAACCCTCCCCCCCCCCCCCTTTCAAACCTTTGACTCGGTGCTTCCACTCTGTGCATGCTCTTGGTCACCGCTTTTCCACAAGGATACAAAATGGCGCTGCCAGGATGGGGAGAGCGGAGGTCTTCACCCCTCAGAGATGCCTTTTGGACTCTGCTTTTGGTTTTCCAAGTGTTCGTGGGGATGGGCTCTTGCGTGGAGTGTGGCTCCAACTGTACCTGCACCGGTGATCTTTTGGACTGCAGCAACCGGGGACTGGAAAGAGTTCCTTTGGAACTGCCCACCTGGATAGTTCATCTGTAAGTGTCCTATTTGCAAAGGCTGTAGATTGTTTTGGGATAGGCAGGCCAGATTCTTTTGAAATTCTGCCTTAATGTGTCAATGCGTTTTCCACATCGAGGTCTCCATCCCCTTCATGAAGGACAGTTTCCTAATCCTTCCTTCTTTGCAGAGGGTGATTAATGTAACAGTGCCTTTCTCCTTCATTGACATATCTAGTTGTAGCTAGTTGCTGAGCAACTAACTCTGACATCCCTTTGGGGGTAGAGAGTTCTCACATCCTCAAAGAGAGAGAGCCCAGAGGGAATAGAAGCTGCCCATTCCCTTTCTAGTTATAGACACTCTTCAGAATGAGATGTTTTAAAGGGGACACCTCACACCCTCATTCTTCAAACTCTTTGGGTGCCGGTTTGTTGCCGAGTTCCTATGTCATGAAACCCCCATCTGCAAACTCACAATGTTTTCCTTCTGTCCTTCCTGAAGTTCTCAATCGAGTTTCTCTTAGCAGGACGTATATACAGTACAGGACATAGGTGCTTTAATTTGCTTTGTTGAACATGTATTTGTTCTGAAGGGTTCTATAATCCTGTGAAACCTGACTGCCTCGGGAAGGTCATTTGTCCCGAAAAAAAATCATATTCTGATTAATGATTGAAATAAGCATTGAAGGTAGTCAGGCAGGATTCTTTTATTAGAATTATTTTAAAGTCAAACAAGATCAACAGGTTGGAAAACTCCATGTTTTAAAATATCAATGTCCTCTTAAATTTCACTTATAATAGCCCTGGTTAAAACCCAAGATTAGGCCCCAGGAAACCCCATGTTGTATATGATAGAGCTCCTTTAAAATTACTGCACAAATTTAGGAAGCTCACCATAGTCAAATGTAAGGGTTTATAGAGAGTCATCTGCTGATTATCGTAAGATTGTTATTTGTATGTTGTATGGATACAGCATTCAATTTCAGATACAGATTTTTTAAAAACCTGACATAGGTTCTTCTGCCAATCTTTAGTTATTTAACTTTTTTCTTCTGGAGGGATAAGATCACTTCTTTCTTTTTTAATTCAGTGGTGAAATTTAAAGGCAATTGGATAAATGGTTGCTGTTGGCTTCTACAAGACGAAGAATATTCTACTTGTCTAAGCCACTTCTTTATACTTCCTAAGGAATTAATAGTTGCAGTCCAAAGTGAAGAACACTTTTTTTTTTGGTAGAAAAAAATTCAATGGTTTGCAGATGTAGGCCAAATGTCTTTCCTTTGGTTGCTGCACACTGGATCCTTGTTATCTGTTAAATAGTTTGATGTCTCAACTTAGTAATTGCAGTACTTAATTCATGTTGTCCTCAGATTGGGGATTCATATAACTTATATTTCAGGTGTTAAAATATGGGCCAATAAAACATGTGGTTTTTATCTAAGATGGTGCATTCAGATTCTCATCATACCTCTCATGTACAAGTATTTCCTTTTTGGCTGTAGATGCATTTACTTGGAGGTAAGTATGCTTAGGACTGCAGTCTTCATACTCTTTTTAGGCAGAAAATTGCTTATAAATGTTTGTAAGGATAGAACTTCATAAGTAGCTATCAAAGATCAAAATTTTGACTTATTAAACATTAAATTTATCCCTGGAAAATGAATTTTTCATTGCTGCTTGTAATAACTTTTTTTAGCGGAGTTAGTCAACTTAAATATACTATACATGGATCTGGTATTCTACATAAAGATGTTAGAGCTCTTTAACATACACTGTAACCTGAGAAATGTCAAATTGCCTTAACAGAATAGGATATATCTGTGCCTAGATTGAAACCTACGGGCAACCCGAGAAGCAGAATTAGGACAAAATCACTTTGAGATAAGGAGATGTTCTTATTTGTCATGGAGAGTTTGATACCTAACCAGACTTTAAAAAATGATTTAAAGGCTTTTATTTCATGAGGAAAAAAAGATAGCGATTACAGTACCAAAACTATAGCTTGCAGCTCACATTCTTGAATACAATTCTACATTTCCTTCTTTGATGTCTACTTTTATTGATGTTATATAAATTACTTGGCCATGTAAACCTCATTCTCTTTGCATGAGACTTAATAAATTAATGACTTCATATCTACTGCAAATGTGGTATGTTAGAGTGATTTTTAAACTAAGATTAATGGGATTATAATTGAACTGCCAGTCCCTAGAGTGTAATTTTGCCTATCTCTGTATTAACTAACCCTTATCTCAAAGAGTTCTATGCAGCAGAGTTTCCACATATATAAAAGTCAGAATGGAGTATACCTCTTATACTCTGCCATCAGAGATCAGCAAGTGGTTGATCTTTTGATTGTGTTAACCACAATAGTGATTACTTCCTAGGGCTGATTCTTGTAATCTGCTAAAGTTTTGTTTTAAACTTTAATCTAGAAGCCAGCAATATTCTCCCTCACAGTACACGTTTACTATTTAAGAAGGTTAATTGCTCAGAGTTAATGCTGTACTACAAGAGGCAGCGGCTTTTTCATGTGTGCCAACTTTATTTTGGTTGTAATTTTAGGACTGGTAATTCATTGCCAGTGGTGCTAAACTGTGGGTGTTGTCTGACAAGTAAGATACCTATAATATATGGAGGATATATTTATGAAGACAAGCTCCTTTGATTTTATTACATCATGTTTACATCAACTCATGCTTGGATGCCCAGTTTGTTAATGACAGTAGTCTCCTACTGTGTGTCTTCAGTATTGTGGCAGTGGTCTTTGTTTATTCCTGTGAAAGTTTCACTAGGATTGTGCATGCTAGCTAGTAAACTGTGTTAATCAGAGTTGGAGGCCTTTTTATTCAGTTTGGACCAGAAGTATGACGTCACCTGAAATCCCTTATAAACTTTCCGTGGATGGGTTCATGCATTACACAAAGCTGTGGTTTACTTAACAATAGCTTATGGAATAAACTGTAATTGCTTGGGTTCACACACAAGTCACTGACATAAACCATGGTTTATAAATCATGATGGCAGAGTTCACACAGAGCAGCAAATCAATCTATAGCTTAAGGTCTTGCATGAAATCAGTTTGGGCATTTGAAAAAGAGGCCTCTTGCGTGGGGAATAGGGTGAGTCTTCTTTGGGGGTGTCTTTGATTTTAGCTTTACTTTCATGTTGGCATAGTTATGTGTTATTTATTGTTTCATTCTGGATTTGTAGCTGTATATTTATGCATTAATTTTGTGCCTAGAAATCTTATTCAGAGAGAATCAATACAAAATTTTACGATAAGCATCTAAAATTTTACGATAAGCATCAATTCATTTACATACACATAGTACAAAGTGGCTTACTTTAACATGAAACTTTAGAACTGTTTTGCATTTAAAAACACGGGGAATGCTTTAGTTCATTAATTAAAGGTACTTACATTATTTTGTAACTCATTTGTGCTAAATGACATAGCTTGCACTTTATTATATTTATGTGAACATAGAACAGAGAATCAAAGGGCTGGAAGGTATCTCAGTGGTCTTTTAGTCCAAGTCCCTGCTCAAGGCAGGAGATATACCATCTTGGTCAAATAGTGGTCCTCTCTATTTTTGAAAACCTCCAATGAATGGAGCACCCACAGCTCCAAGAGGCAAGCTATGCCATTATCATTGTCAAAAATTTTCTTCTTACTATTAGGTTGGATTTTTTGAAAAAAAAAATCAGTTTGTAAACACATAGATGATGACACTCTGGCAAAATGATCTCTTTTCTTTTTCTTGCCGCTGCAAATTATACTACTGTACTGTAACTGCTTCTTTCTTATTAGTTAGAGCAATGTTTCTTTATCTTGGTAACTTGAAGATCTGTGGACTTCAACTCCCAGAATTCCCCTTGGCATGACACGCCAATAACTTGGTACACAGATCAAATCTGGCTATTGTGGTTTGGCGTTGTTCAGTATATCAGCTTGGCCATTTATGGTTTATAAATCATGTTTTATGACTCAGTGTGTTCCAGGGCCATCTTAAGAAGCATTATGGGCCCTGGGCAAAGCAGTGTATTGGGGCCCTTACGACAACTTCTCACAGGAATAAAAATGTAAATGGTCAATAAAATTAAACATTTATTTTTAAAAATCAGTGTTGATTTTTATTAATGCATGTTAGTATTAATAAAAAAGGCAGTAAAATGTAATAAATATGTTGCTGTATTTATATGATACAAGGTGCATTGAAGGGTTAACATACACAGATTAGCATGGGGCACCTATGTTCGTGGGGCACACGGGCAAGTGCCCATCAGGCCCATGCGTTAAGACAGCCCTGGGGTGTTCTGGCCAATAGTGTGGCTTATTCAACTTATACAGTGTTTCTCCACTTTGGCTGCTTTAAGCTTTGTGGACTTCAACTCCCAGAATTCTCCAGCTAGCATGAGGATTCTGGGAATTGAAGTCCACATAGCTTTAAAGTGGCCAAGATTGAGAAACTATATTATGTCCCCAATACGTCCCCGATCATATTCCTCAGAATGGTTTGACATTTTAGACATCTTTTAAACAAGTTTATAATAATCCTAATAACTCAGGATTGCAAATTAAAAAAAAGATAGACTCCCATCTCTGACTAGCAATAAAAGAATGGGCTTACTTTGCAACTGATGTAGATTGGGAGGGGGGAGATGGAGGCTTCTCATAAGGAGCCTTGGTGGTGCAGCGGACTAAAAGTGCTGTTAAGTAGCACTTAACTGCCAGCTGCCTGCAATTACTGCAAGTTCAAATCTCACTAGGCTCAAGGTTGACTCAGCCTTTCATCCTTCCGAGGTAGGTAAAATGAGGAACCGGATTGTGGGGGCAATAAGCTGACTTTGTATACAAAGAACACCGCTTAGGGCCCCCCGAAAGTCCTACTAAGCAGGTACATACAAAAGTATGAAGGCTATTGCTTAACGCATTGTAAGCCACTTTTGAGTCTCCGGAGAAGGGCGGCATATAAATCGAACCAATAAATAAATAAATAAACAATAAATTTGACATTATGCCATCATATCCGTAA